AGACTTCAACTCCCAGAATTCCCCAGCCAGCCATTCTGGGAGTTGAAGTCTACATATCTTCAAGTTGCTGAGGTTGAGAAACACTGGCGTAGAAGATCAGCATCTGCAGGAGAGGGGTTGCTTCTGAACAACCAGCATCGCTCACCCAAAGGAAAGTTTAGTAGAAACCGATTCAATCAGGAAACGCCCTTTGGGGGACCAGCCTGTAACTTTGCAGGCTCTGGGCCTCGTAACAAAAAAATTCTCTCCATACCATCTAAGAGGATTTTCTTCTTCTGTTCGATTGGCTCCATTCTATTTTGCACTGGCGTAAATTCATTTTCTGAATTGTATCCGTAAAACGGATAAGTCAGCCGGTTGACTTCAGAACTGGGCTCCTTCATCAAGAACATTGTGTGCCCTGACTCAGATGGCCTTGAAGGAAGATGAGGTACATTTGTAGGCCGAAGAAGGACTGATCAAACTGGGGTTTCCGTGCTGAGAGAGATCATGCATTGAGACAATTATTGCTTTCCTCTTAAAGGTGTCTAGCCAATGCCCAGTTTTGAGCCTTATGGTTGCAGATTGCACAAGTTAAAATACCTATGTTATGTGGAAAAAGCATATCTTAAATCCCCCAACTTATCAGCCCTTTGAGGTAGGCCAGCCCAGCAGGAATTTCAGGAATGCTACTTTATTGTTGTCAGGTATCATAACAGAATCTTGAAAGCCTGAGTTTCTCTGTACTCCTTATACCAAACAAAATCAAGCCAGAGTTATCTTGAGTTTCTTTCTCACCCTCTCCTCTTTCTCGGGGCTGAGCCATCTTTTCACAATGCCCACCTTTAATGGTTCGCTTGTTTCTTCCCGGTCCCCAAGTTCCCTTAAACAACTGTCGCCCATTATTTGAGAACAAAAGACAAGGAAGCCCATAACGCTCAGGGGGTATGAGAGAGGGAAACAAAACAACTAACAATTTGTTGTTTGCAATGTTTGATATTTGGCAGCTGGGCATCCCTCACTCCTTCGTCATGGTCAGTTACCAGCACAAGTTTCAGGACGAAGATCAGACGCGTCTGAAAGGATCCCTCAAGTACGTCAGAGCTGGAGGGTGGCTGCTGAATGTGCAGTGGGGGATAAACGTGGTGGTGGAGGGTGGGAATGGCGCTTGTAGAATTGGGGCAGGCAAGCCTAGCTGCTAGAGCGGTGGATCTCTGTCAGCCGTCCCAGGTAGGTCAGCAGGAAACACAACCAGGTGAGCTAATTCTGTTTTATTGTGAAGATACATTGACAGAATCTTGCAACTGTGAACATACAATCCTCCCCCATCTCCTTTACAGCCCAGGAAACTAGGGAGGGTCCCTTCTGAGTCTCTTTCTCCACCCATTATGCAGCTGTGGGCTGTGCCCTCTCTTTTCTGACTGTACCCTAGGCAGGTTTCTGGGCTCTGTCTCCGAAGGTCATTTCCACATCCCGTTACAATCTCTGGAGAAAGAAGTGTGTCCTAGACCAGTTGTCCAGACTGCAGTGCAAACTACACGTCCAGAACCATCTAATCCAGTGTCCTTACCTTAGCAACTAAGATGTGTGGACTTCAGCTCCCAGAATTCCCCAGTTGCTCCCAGAATTCCCTACTTGCCAAGGCTGGGAAACACTGATCTTTAATCTTTATCTTTATTACAGCCTTACAGCCAGAAAACACAATATATACCAAATAGGTATATAGGGAGTATTCAGAAACAGATGCACTTAAAATTTGTAGACATAAGTAGAATTGGTATAAATGAAATATATAAGCAAAAATACAATTAAATGGCAATAATAATAATAACAGTGATCACATAAATAATAAATAGAAGCATAGCATGGAGCAACTTGGGAGGACCCACCAGAGTCCTGATGAGAGAGAAGAAGCAACAAATACAGGTAGTCCTCGACTTATGACTCCAACTGGGATTGGAAGTTCCATTGCTATGCAATGTAGTTGTTATGTGACTCATGCCTGATTTTACAACCTTTTTTGCCACAGTCATTCAGCAAATCCCATGGTTGTTAAGCAAATCCAGCTTCCCCCATTGACTTTGCTTGTCATAAGCCCCCTGGGAAGGTCACAAATGGCAATCACGTGACCCTGGGATTCTGCAACTGTCATAAATACATGCCGCTTGCCAAACACCCAAATTTGGATCACATGACCGTGGGGATGCTGTGATGGTCGTAAGTGTGAAGACCAGTTGCAAGTCACTTTTTCAGCACCATCGTAACTTCAAATGGTCATTAAACGAATGGGACTACCCTTAAGCTTCAGATTTTCTTCCAGAGCATTTCTTCAAAACAGGATAGACGCTTGTCCTCTGAGATGCCCTGTAAAGAGAGCAATAGAGAAGCACATAGCTCAGGGACTCAGCACCAGGAAGCCAGAGGGCAGGGGAGGCCAGCAAGGCACGGGGCTGGATTGGGGGGTGATGTAGCATCAAAATCCTGCAGTGCTGCCCTGACTCAGGGAAACCCAGTATGGGATAGTGGGGAAGGGGCTGGATCAAGAGTGGGGTGGTGGGTTCTAGTCCCTCTTCAGCCACAGAAGCTCCATGGGGGACTCTCTCCCTCTCAGCCCACGAGCCAAGGGGGATCAGTGGTGAAGGGGCTGGGCCAGGAGTGGGACGACCCACTTTCTAGTGCCCCTCCATCCCATTCCTCTTGGGGCCAATGCTGTGTAGGCCACCCTTGGCGCCTGACTGGAAGGCGGGATGCAACCGCCACAAATCAGCACCGTCCAATCCTTAGTGGTCCAGAGAGACAAAACCTGCCGCTCCTTTACGGCCTCCAATCCTTCCACCCAGGGCTGGCTTTTTCGGAACCGTCGTGGAGTATGGGGCCGAACGGAAGATCTCAAAGCACAGTGTCCTCGGAGCCACGGTCAGCGTTGGTGTGCCCCAGGGCGTCTCTTTGAAGATCAAGTGAGTTGGCTGCCCTGCGCTTGAGACACGCTGCTCCTGCCACCCTTCCCACACTTCTGCTCGTTCTTGCTGGCACTGCCAAGGGGCAGGGGGCACAGGTCTAAGTCGTGCGTAAATGCCAGGACTGGTTGGCACGGATGGGCATCTGCTAGCTCTGCAGCCTCCTTGCGCCCCCGCTGGCTCTGACTCTGGCCATTCCCAGCTGCAGCCTCAGGAGGAGTGGGGTGGCATCTCAGAGGGCCCCCATTTCTGCTCCAAAACTGGGGCTCCATGTTTTGTGGAAGGAGCGAGGAGACATCCTTGGGGTGACCCACGGATGCAAGGGGGCAAAGCCCCGGCTGCTTTCTCGGGGATGGCCATTGCAGTGTGCAGAACAGGCACGTTCAGGGTATGGGTTGAACATCCCCTGGTAATGCAAATGCAGAGGACTGCTGTCATTGCTGTCTGCTCCGGCTGCAGCCGTTGTCCCTTCTCTTCCTCCTCCCGCCTTCCAGGCTGAACAGAGCCAGCCAGACTTACTTCTTCCCCATCCACTTGACCGACCAACTGCTGCCCAGTGCTGTCTTCTACGCCACGGCGGGGCCCCTCGTCTTCTACTTTGCCATGGACCGGCTGATCATCCAACCCTATCTCAGGGCCCAGAAGGAGAGGTGAGGGCCCCAGAGCTGTGGGCAGAGTTGAAGGGGGGCTCTTGCCTGGGCAAGGCAGAAGCCCCACATCCATCTGAAGCTGACCACCAGTGATAGGGCAGGGGCTCTCGGCCTTTGTGTCTTTCTGGAAGATTCTGGCCAGGCTAGAAACAATCCTCAATTCAGAGGAGGTGGCTTCTGTGTGTGGAGGAAGTGGGGTGGGGGACGGAGCCAAACTCTGGGTCCCTGGCATTTCTCTTGCTTATTAAGGGGGTGCAGCCCACAGCAGGAACTTCTCCTGTTGTTGAAAGCCAGGGGAGCCTCCCCTGAGTCCTTCCCAGCTTCCCTCTTTCCCTCTACCCCGTCACGGCATGGGGCAGAGGGAGGCAGAAAGAGCAAAGGAATTAACCAGTGAAAAAGATGGTAAAGAAAACCTCAGCCCTGTCCAGCAGGGAGTGGAAGAACCTGCAAATAAGCCAGCCTTGATTCTGCATGGCATAAGAGAGGACAGAGGGAAATGGAGGGACTTTCAAGATTCGGTTATTATCCCCAACAGCAATCAAGTAGAGTTCCAGGAGTCCTTAAGGGGTCAGGTTTTTGACCTGGCCTACCTCGAAGGGCAGGCTTGAGCAGGCTACTGCCAGGGATAACCTGGTGGGACTCACCTCCTGGGGGTCAGCAGTAAGAGGGAGGGGCTGATCTGGACCACTTGGCATCCCCTTTTTCTCCCGCTAGAGAGTTGGAGAAGCAGCGAGAGAGCACCGCCAGCGACACCTTGCAGAAGAAACAGGAAGCAGAAGCCGCCGTAAGTGTCATCCCAGATTCTCATCCCCAGGCCCTTCCTGCGCTGTGTTACCTTGGCAGGCCTGATTTTAGCCAGGCCCCAAAGTTTCCCTTCCCTTTCCCGCTGGTCTGGAAGGGACGAAACGGCTGGAGCGAGCTGAGCAGAGGCCCTCAGCATTTGAGCCGGGAACATTTGGAGAACAGAGCCACGTTCCCGCAAGCTGTTGCCAAACACATCAGGGTCAAAGAAGCTCATCAGGGGTCTGGCTTTCTGTATCAGATGGAGACGCAGGGCAGTCTTCTGGAGGCCCCCAGCAGCCTGCCACAAAGCAGACAAGTGGGGCCACAGTCAGGCCCACTCTTGGCTCGATGGTAACGTCCTAAAGAAATCATGAGATGCTCCCTTTGCGTTGATGTGTGGGTGCTTCATTCTGTTGTCCCCTGCCACACAGGTGCGGTTGATGCAAGAATCCGTCCGGAGGATCATTGAGGCTGAAGAAGCTAAGATGGGTGCGTAAGGCTGGTTTGTCTCTTTTGCTTCCCTCCCTCTCCTGCCGGTGGAATTACAGGCCACCCGTTTCGGTTTGGACCTGCTTTAGTTTGGATCTCACAAATGGCACGGGAAGGATGCAGTCACAATAGAAACCTCTCCCGCAGAGGGCTGGCTTAGAGATGCTGGCTTGTTCAGGCCGTGATCCTGGTTCACTGCTTGACTTGGCCGAACCCATTTCACGTTTGAGGAAGACGAGGGGCAGCTCATTAACTGACCCTCCTCTTTGCATGTGGAAGATTCCGTTCTTGGCACCTGAAGAAATCCTGCCAGCCTGCGCAGACACGCTGAGATAAGCCAGTTTCTCAGTTCCAAGCAAGCTTGTCGCTGGCAATTAGTAGCAGTGATTTTAGCGTTCTGCCTGTCTCTTTGCTAAGAATTCAGGCTTATAACCTGGGAGGCAGAAAAATAGATTAAATGGAAAAGAGGAGCAGGTAGAACGGCCTGGCAGGATGGCTGAGGGTCACCCTGTTTCCCTTCTCATCCTGAGCAGAATGATACTGTCTGTCTGTCTCGATCCGTTGGTATGGCCACCCGTCTTGCGACAGCAACTCTGGGCGGCTTAACCTAAGCTAAAAACTCAAATGCAACCAGATGGTAAATACATGTGATGGCAACCCGGGAAAAGAACAGTCCCCCTACATAACGCCTCCATCTCTACACTGTTCCTCTTTGATCCTGACATGGCTCTGCCGGCTGCTCCTTTGGGGGTTCCTGTGGTCTGACTGTGCTGCCCCTCTTGTTCCTCAAAGGCCTGATTATTGTGAACGCCTGGTATGGGAAGTTCGTCAACGACCAGAGCCGGCGGGATGAGAAGGCCAAGGTCATCGATGTGGCAGTGCCCCTGCAGTGCCTGGTGAAGGACTCCAAGCTCATCCTCACCGAAGCGTCCAAGGTAAGGGCAGTGCCAGGGCAGAGAGAGGCAAAGGAGTTTTCCTGGCTCCTCTCTTCCTGGGACAGCTGACTGTGAGGGATCTGTGCTCCTCTGGGATGTTGCGCTGTGCGGTCTCGGAGCTCTGTCCTCCCGCGGCCCCCTGGGTGTGGAGGGCACTCTGCCTCGCAGGGGCCGGTGAGCTCAGCCTGGCCTCGTTCTTGGTCCTGCAGGCTGGCCTGCCTGGGTTCTATGACCCCTGTGTTGGGGAAGAGAAGAACTTGAAAGTGCTCTACCAGTTTCGTGGCGTCCTCCACCAAGTGATGTCGGCGGACAACGAGGCCCTTCGGATACCAAAGCAATGTGAGTAGCAGAGCCAGGAAGGGGGACGTTTTCACTCTCTGCGGTGCCAGCATCCTGTATCTTCATGGGAGAGTTTGAATGCAGGACATGCCTGCCTGCTTTAGGTCAGCATGGCTGCAGGGAATCAAAGGCGGTGGGGTCAGAAGAGAGGCCTCCCTTGGGAGCTGAGGATCAGAACGTGGGGGCCCTAGCGCTTGACCCCTCACCTGCCCCGTAAGGGGCACCCCTCTGACCCCAGAAGAGAATATCTGCATTCTCCAAACTTCTTTCTAAAGTCATCCAGTCTCATGACCTCACAATGGGCAATGCGTGAGAGATGTACAAATTATTGTAATATTTCAATGATAAATGCAGCCATAAACAAATTGGAAGGGACCTGAGAGGTCATCTAGTCCAGCCCCCATCCAGGCCAGGAATCCACTAAACCATCCCCAAGAAAAACCTCCAGGGAAGGAGGTCACCCACATTCGAAGCACGGTTCTGGTTGCCAGGAAATTCCTCCTAATATTCAGCTTCCATTCTTTCTTTCAATCTCAGCTAGATGGTCCTCGTCCCGCTCTTGATTTCAACAGAGATTACGTCTGTCTCCTTTTGCACGTGACAGCCTTAAATATTTGTAGACCATATCTCCTCTCAGTCTGCTCTTTAGCCCTTTAAACATATCCAGATCCTTTAACCCCTCTTTGTATGGCTTCGCTTCCAGGCCCTCCCTCACCCTGTTAGCTACCTGAATGTAATCCAACTTCTCCATGTCCCTTTTAATGTGGAGTGCCCAGCATAGGGTGGAACTGCGCCTGTAACCTACAAGCTGGATGCTGTGGTGCTGTTAATACAGTCCACAACTGTATTGGCCTTGTTAGCTGCTGCATCACACAGTTTGTCCATGTTTAACTGGAGGTCCACTAGATCCGTCTGACACCCGCTGCCACAGATGTCCGCTGTCCTGAATCTGCATGTTTGATTTCTCCTATCCAGATGCAGGCCCTTCCGCTTGTCATAGTTGAATGTCATCCAGTTAGATTTGGCCTAATGTTTGGAGTGATGATTTTGTCCTCTAAAAGCAACTGGCTGGGGGAATTCTGGGAGTTGAAGTCCACACATCTTAAAGTTGCTGAGATTGAGAAACACTGCTTTAAAGTGCTAACCAATCTCTTTAATTGGCATCTGCAAATTTAACAGACATCCCTTTCATTCATCTTTTTATAAAGGATCATAATTTATAAAATGGTTCAGGACAATATATTTAGATCAGAACTGTATGAAGAATGACCAGAAAAGCCGCTATTGGCATTATAATCTCTTCCTCTTGTTTTTGTTAATTAAGTATAAAGCAATAGAAAAAACTAAGCAAAGAAAGAAAGAAAAAAGGGGGAAAGGAACAGGATATAAACATATAATTACATTTTTGTTTATTTATATATCACATTTGTATAGCCACCCATCTCTCACAAAGTGACTCTGGGCAGGGTACAACAATTAAAATAAAATAACAAGTGAATAGAAACAGGTATTATAAAAAGAAAAAAGTTATTAAAATAAAAACATTATCAAAAAATTTAAATTTACCTAACAGCATAATCCCTCAGTCATCTATATTGTTACTGATCTTTTTTAAAATTAATATTATTATTGCTGCTTCAGAAGCTTTATACTGAGATGAGGGTAGAAGTGAGAGTTCAGAAGAAGAGATTTAATATAACGATTAAGAAAAATGAAAAAGTAAATAAATTAAAAAACTGAGAGGAAAAAAATTGTGCCTCTAAGAAAAAGCATTCAAGCAGCCCCTTTCTTTTTCTTTCTTTTTCCTCCTTTGTTTTTTTCTCCTGGCTGCTAACTGCTATTTAAGTATATTTTTATATTGTGCTTTAAACTTCTACAATTATTCTATATAAATGTTTTTAATTGTTTTTTAAACAGTTTCTTTTTTTCTTTAACTTGCCTTGCTATGTGATATCTTGCTTGTGAGGGAGCTTTTCCTACTTGAATTTGGTTAGCCTTCTGCTGTGAATATATACAATTAATTTTTTCCATTGCAGCCATATTCTCCAATTTTGGTCTCCCAATCTTGTATTGTTGGTGTCTCCTAACGTTTCCTAAAGTTGCATTCCCGGTCAGTCATGACCTCTGTGGACCCCGTCAGCATATGAATGTAAACTTATGTAAAATTAGAGGTTTTTGTCCTGCTAATGTGTCTCCTTGGACACTTATTTCCCTTGAAAGCACCCCATTTGCTATTCAATGCCCCTGACTCTCTTTGACGCCTCCTTTTTTGGGATCATCCACACCTTTAGCGCCTTCCTGACGCCAAAGCATTTAAAGTTACAATCTAATATTGCTCCCCCTCTCTGTGAGCACGGTTTCTGTGTTCAAACTAGCAATCTGGGAATGTTGGAAGTGAACCCGAGATCTGACCCGTGGGTGAAGTTCATGGGTCAGGTTAAAATGGACATTTTCTCCAGTTGGGGAGGAGGAGGCCCTGCAAGAGGGGAGAGGGTTGGATCAAAACACCCTGATGTGCTCCCCACCCCCATGGCTGTTCTGCATATTTTTAATCTTTTAAAAAATATTTTTATTATCTTATTAAGTATTAAATTAAATATTAAATAATGTTATAAAATATTACTTCTCACCTTTTTAATCTCTTCCTCCTTGCTTTCTCGGCCAACAGCTCACCGGATCGATATGGACAGCTAATGCAGTGGGGAAAAGTGGCGGGGGGCTACGTCCTGCCCCCCGGGTCAGCAGAAATGGCGTCGTCCGTCTTCCTTTCTGGATTTGAACCAGCTTCATGCCTGTGGCGAAGCAGCCTGCTTTACAGTCTAGAGAAAAAGTGGCTTTGCACCAGTTACGTTGGGGGATGAAAGGAGAAGAAACCACAGCCACCCGTTCTACAGGTGCAGCCTGGTGCTTTCTCCCTCCCCGCAGGAACCGTCGTCCATCGGCCGGGAACGCCGTGGGGCAGGAAGGGCCAGAATCAGCCTCTCTACTCCCCTTGCGAATAAGGCAGAGCCAGGTTCTTCCTACTCAATTGCCCAGCTGTTCTGGAATCCAAACGCGCTCTGCTGTGTGCATTTCTGTAGCCTCCGTATGTTTCCGACTCTCCCACCTCTGGCAGCGATGCCCACCCCTCTCACCTCTCTGGCATCTCAAGCAGGGTAAGAAGATGGAAGGGGAACGAGGGGAAGTTAGCCATAAACTGCTTCGGGTCCCAGAGGCAGGCGGCGCACCCCATTTCGGAGTATCGCTGGCTGGAAATGCTTTCTAAAGGGACCCCAGCTTCTTCAGAGTCAGCCTCTCAAGCATGGAGAGGTCTTGGTGAACGGCAAGGAGGATGAACTGGACGCCGACGCAGACCCTGTGGCTCCCGTGGCTACGAGCCTCCTCTCCTCCCTTCCTTTGCGGATCGGCTGTGTTTGGGAAAACCTTCAGGAAAGACCCCCCACCCCATCCCGGTCCCTGAATTACAGCCACCCTCGACCTGAGAAAAACGATCATAGATGCCTGAAGCTGGGATCCTGCTGGCCGCGCCCTTCTTCTCGTCTAAATCAGGTGCTGTCCCCACATGGCGGTCAGCTCTGAAACAAGGGATTTTCCCAGCTTGTCCCTTTCTTAGGCGACTGTCCATCACGGGGGAAAGGTTCGTGTGTCGGTTCATGCTCCACCCAGAGAATTCCTTTCTCCTCGTGCTGCTCATCTCAGTTTTTTTTCCAGTGGCTGGGATAAGAGCACTGTTTGGTTCTGGCAATCGTAATGGTTCCTTTTGCAAAGCCGCGCGTCGCTGGTTTATTCCTCTTTGCCACCACCCGGCACCCCGGCTCTTCATGCAGGAGCAAGGCCGGCCAAGAGCGAGCCCCGGATCCTGCTGCTGGAGAGCCCCGTCTCTGCTGACGGACAGCGCTCTTCTGACCCCCACCCCCCCACAAGTGAGTTCCTGAGGGCGGGGGCGCCTCTGGTTTCTCCTGTAACATTTAAGGACAATAAAACAACCCACTTTTGTGAAGGACAGAGTCTGTGTGAGGATGGTGGGAGTGGGTCCCCGGTGGGAAATTCTGGGGAGCCTGGCGGATGGCGTCGCCCGAAGAGGCAGGGGCGAAATCTCTGCGTGGATTCACACAGCACTGCTAAGCCGTGGTTGATTTCTGTAAGGCACCTTGGTTGGGTTAATGCGTTGGACTAAGCCGTGGGTCAGAGTTGACGTGGGAAGCCAAAATGATTCAGTCCATTGGAAAGGGGGCATTCCAGGGAGCCTTCCAGCTTCCCCGTGCAGATGCAAAGCGCTGGGGGCAGGAAGCTGGATTTTCTTGGCCCTTCGCTGCATCAAGACACAGTTTGCTGTTGGCAGAGGAAGGGAGAAGGGGCCCACCGCACATCCACACGCTTGCAAAGTAAAGTTTATTCTTTGGCCGTTCCCTGGACAAGCATGATCAAAACCCGCAGATCAATGTCCATTGGAAATCTTGCCCAGACCCACTTAAAATATTTTAAAGGTGGCTGTTCCCCTTCTTTAAAGCGTTCACAACAGAGGCCGTGGATGTGCACCTGAAAGCGGGAGTTGGCACAAATCCTACCGCAGTTCTTGTCCTAAACCCCTTGGTAGATTGAACTGCTTCTGGTGAAGGCCTGTCGGCAGATTTTGGGAGTGGGAGCCAGTGGCCTCGAGGTTGTGGTGGAATAATTGGGATAAGCAAGTGTGCAGGACTGTTAGTTTACAGGCTTTCAAAATCAGCACGGGTGCCGTGTGGAGGTGACTTTTGCGCCATCTGAATTACACTGTGGTTCTGCAGACTAGTGTTTTTCAACCTTGGCCCCTTTAAGATGGGTGGACTTCAACTCCCAGAATTCCCCAGCCAGCATGTGCAGACTTCAACTCCCAGAACGCTGGGTGGGGAATTCTGGGAGTTGAAGTCCACCTGCCTTAAAGTTGCCAAGGTTGAAATACAGTGATGTAGGGTGCGTTCATTCATTAGGGTGGCTGGCAGAAGTTCAACCAGCCCAGCGTGCCAGTTCGGTCAGTTTTCGACTCTTGGGTCCCTCCCACCAGGTCTCAATATTGGAGAAGTGTTTCCGCTTAGCCAGCGTCCGTTCTCATGTTGCTGGTCCTGCCCGTCTCCCCTTCGGCCCGCATTCCTAGAGCCCGACGAGCTCCGCCTGGGAGCCGGTCGTAGCGGGCTGCGTGCAGTTCCTGGGTTTCTCGAGCCTGGAAGGAGCGCGCATGCGCACACCCCAGCAAGATGCATGGGGTAGAGCGAGGAAAGGGCTCTGCGCAACTCACTCTTCCGGTTGCCATGCGGGCTTCGCCGCCCCGAGGATAGGAGCGGGAGGCAATGGGGCGGAAGCGCGTTCTCCTTCGCATTCACTGGCATCGCCCTCACCAAAGATGGCGTCCGCCTCCTGAGTGCCCGGAAGTAAGCTTCGCGCTGGCTGGCTGGCCCCTCCCCGGGAGGCTCCGGTGCCCCGCCCTCTTTGCAGAAAGGCGTAGGTGCTGCGGCCCCTTCGCACGCGATCGGGGTTCCTGCGTAATTGCACGGCCAGCCTCTTCTGCCTGCCTGGCTCCCAGCTGCGCCGAAGACACCGGCCGGGGAAGCGGGTCTAGCAAGCCTCGGGTCTTTTCTTTCCTTGCAAGACCCGCGCAGGGAGGCGCAAACACCCGACCCAAAACGCCGCCTTTGGGCAGTGCCGAAGCGCGCGTTTTGCGCCGCGTTCATCGCGAGGCGCTCGTTTAAGCAACCGGGGCTGATTCTTCCTCCGCCTCGCAATTGCTACAACAGCCCTGCCAAGGAGAACAGCGTTGTCCGTTCCGGGGGGGGTTGCCCGCAAAGCGAACGTGAGGATAACCCTCAACCAGTGTTAAAGAAGAGCGACACACGTGCAGGATAAATTGAGTAACCACGTCCAGTCAGTTTGATAATCCAGAAATCAACCCCGTATCCCTCCTCTAAAGATGTGGACTTATTGATGGGGGCGCAGTGATTCCCCAAATTACTTATTATATGACCCAACTCCCTTGCGCTATTTTCAAGCCTTTTTTCGGGGCGGGGGGAGGAAAGAATGCAGCGAGGGAGGGATTCAAAGTCACGCAAGCAGCCCCGTTCCATAAAACAAATAATTTTAATTTTTTTAAAAAAAATTAAAGCTCTTAAACTGAGATTGTACACAGACGAACCCTTGACGCGCAGCGGTTGCTGCTGCGGAAGATCCAGCGGTTTTGGCTGAGGGGCGACCGACGAGGATAACGAAAGGGGGAAGGAACCGAAAAGCAGTCCTAGCGTGGAGCCCCAAAATCCACTGGAAGCTCTCCTTCCACGCAGGCATCTCCCAGCGGGAGGGTTCCTTTCCAGCAGCTTTGGCCCCAGATGGCAAGGACGGGTATCCTGGTGCGTCTCGCGGGTGACCATCTGGAGGAGCCAGGCCACCAAGCCAGAATCCACCTTCAGCTCTGCAGAAGTTCCCCATACAGACTTTTGGGAAGCAGACAAAGCCTTAACACCACAACACCAGAAAAACACCAGGAATGTCTTACCTATTGACCAAGGATTGCGGGGAGAGGTTCTCCACCCACTTTCTGTCCCCACCCACCTTCGGAGACGCAGCGCAGTCTCGGTTTAGAAAGTCCAA